TTTGGTGATTAATGATTGGATCAAGATTGGCTACAGGCTAACAGCTGCACAGTGAAAAATCTAAATTACTGACTTTGAGTGAAGTTAGCTAAGATTTTTTTTAAGATTTATTTATTTGAAGGGCAGAGTTACAGAGATTCAGAGGTAGAGAGAGAGAGCGAGAGAGAGGTCTTCCATCTGCTGGTTCATGTCCCAGATGGCTGCAACAACAGGAGCTGCGCCAATCCAAAGCCAGGAGCCAGGAGCTTCTTTCAGGTCTCCTATGTGAGTGCAGGGGCCCAAGGACTTGGGACATCTTCTACTGCTTTCCCAGGCCATAGCAGAAAGCTTGATTTGAAGAGGAGCAGTGGAGACTCTATCCAGCGCCTATATGGGATGCCGGCACTAAAAGCGGCGGCTTTACCTGCTATACCACAGCACTGGCCTTGTCAGTTAGATTTTATATACTGTCATTGTTTAGCCAGTGTTGTTTCTAAATTCCTTTAAGCTGTTTTCCTTCCACTGTCCTTGAACTAATGTTTTTAAGCACTTTTATGTAATTGCCTTCATTTCAATGCATTTGAGAACATGAGAAAAAAGACACCATTGAGGGCACCTGAGATAAAGCTGATCAGTAACTGGGGACGGGAAGTCCATGGGGGCTTTGGGGAGAGTGTCAGTGCAAACCCAGCCAAGCGTTGTGCGACTTCTCAGAGGTTTGGCTTGAATCTCGTGATTGTGGTGCCAGCTGGTGACGCCCTGATCTCTGGTTCTCTTCCTCACTCATGCCTAGAAGTGAAATTTGGCAGAGAGGTGTTCATTGGTTGGTTCACTCCACAGATGACTGAAGCTGCTAGACCTGGGCCAGGTTGCAGTTAGGGGCCAGGAGACTCATCCAGGCCTCCCACATGGGTGCAAAGGTCCAAATGCTTGGGACACCTTCTGCTGCTTTTTTGTTGGCCATTAACAGGGAGCTGAATCAGAAGTGGAGCTGCTAGGACACATATGGGATGCCGGCGCTTCACCCACTATGCTGCAGTACCAGCCCCACTGCTGAGTCCTACTCACCCCACTTCTGTCGGATGAACATGACCCTTCAGCTGTCGTCTGCTCTTTGTCACAGAATCTTCCCCCTGGGCTGTGAGCCCTCTGTTGTCTGGTCCAGGTTTCCTCTTCAGTCACCTGTCATGGGGTCCCCCTGAAGCACTGTTGACCACTCTGTTTCAAAGCCCTCCAAGTCCTCGTACTCATTAGCTCTTCTGCCCTGCTGTCCAGGTTCTCCATTTCTCCTTTTTCCTGTTACTTCCCTCCACTCCAAGAAAAGACCTGGTCTGTAGAGGCTCTACTCTCCATCCTGCTTACAACCATGCTGTTGTACCTATGCTATCACCAACCCTTATGCCATGGGTAGGACCCACTCTCAACAGGGCTAAAATGAGATCCAGCATGAAGTAGCCTATTGTCAAGGAACATTCTCGTCTATACAATTTGTGATTCTTCATTCATTTGCTAAATTGCTAAGGCGTAAAATCATGACAGGTATAAGAATCATGATAGATGTAATCAAAATCAGTAAGCATTTCTCAAAGCTTCAATGACCATCTCTCAGATATTATACTAGAAAAATGACACATGAGATATGTCAATATTAGAACAGGTTTAATGATTGGAAATACATATGCAAAGCATATTAAAATGAGATAAATTTGACAACGTGATAACTATAGTGAATATAAATAATATGTATCACATTAGATTGTTCTTAATTTTGGAAACTTAGATGATACCTTAGGAAGATTTTACTTAAATAATATCTTAAATATAGGCAAGATGACTCTTTAGAAAAATGTGAATACAAGTATATGAACCAGGCCAATAATATTATATTGATAGTCTTCATTGATAAAGGCTATTGGCAAATATTTACTAAGATCCCAGTAAGCTTGAACAGATGATGTCTAATAGAAGAAATGTAGGTATGTAATGAAAATAGAAAGACACTCAGCCACAGAGACTCTGAGAAGAGGACATTAAAAAGTGAAAAAACCTTCCATGTTCATGAATTGGGAGAAACAATATCATCAAAATGTCCATACTACCAAAAGCAATTAACAGATTAATACAATCCAAATCAAAATACCAATGACATTCTTGTCAGATCTGGAAAAAGTGGTATTAAAATTCATATGGAAACATAGGAGGCCCAAATAGCTAAAGACACTTTATACAACAAATACAAAGCCAGAGATAGCAATACCTGATTTCAAGCCATACATGCTACAGGGCAGTTATAATAAGAAGAGCCTTGTGTTGGTACAAAAACAAACTTGTAGACCAATAGAAAACAAGATAAATTCCAGAAATCAATCCATGCATAAAAAGCAATTTATCTTTGACAAAGGAGCTAAAATAGATCCATTCAGGAATGGCAGTCTCTTTAACAAATGGTGCTGGGGAAGCTGAATCTCCACATGCAGAATTATGAAATAAGACCTCTACCTTACACCTTACACAAAAATCCACTCACAATGGATCCATGACCTAAATCTACAACCCCATACACTCAAAATACTAGAGAACATTGGGGTAACTCTGCAAGACCTTGGCATAGGCAAAGAATTCTTGAGAAAGACCCCAGAAGCACAGGAAAGCAAAGCCAATATTACCAAATGGGATTACATCAAGTTGAGAAGCTTCTGCACTGCAAAAAGAAACACTCAGCAAAATGAAGAGGCAACCAACAGAATGGGAGAAAGTATTTCCAAACTATGCAACTAATAAAGGCTTAACATTCAGAATCTATAAAGAGCCCAAGAAATGCAACTACAATGAAACATATAATCCAATTAAGAAATGGGCAAAGGGCTTGAACAGGCATTTTTCTTTTTTCCTAAGATTTATTTATTTATTTGAAAATCAGAGTTACACTGAGAGAGAAGGAGAGGCAGAGACAGAGAGACAGAGACAGAGAGAGAGAGAGAGAGAGAGGTCTTCCATCCACTGGCTTGCTCCCAAATTTGCTACAATGGCTGAAGCTGTGCTGATCTGAAGCCTGGAGTTAGGGCTTCAGCCTCTTCCAGGTCTTCCACTTAGGTGCAGGGGCCCAAGGACTTGGGCCATCTTCAACTACTTTCCCAAGCCATAGAATAGAGCTGGATTGAAAGTGGAGCAGCTGGGACTCTAACTGGCATCCATATGGGATGCCAGCACTGCAGGCAGCAGCTTTACTCCCTATGCCACAGGGCAAGCCCCATAGAAGCATTTTTCAAGAGAGGTAATTCAAACGGCCAACAGACACTTCCGAAAATGCTCAGGATAACTAGCCATCAGGAAAATGCAAATCAAAGCCACAATGAGATTCCCCCTCACTCCAGATGGAATTGCTAATATAGAGAAATCAACAAATGACAAATTATGTCAAGGATATGAGAAAAAGGTACTCTAATCCATTGGTGATGAGAATGTAAACCGGTGCAGCCACTGTGAAAGATAGTATGGGAATACCTCAGAAATCTGAATATGGATATACCATATGATATAGCAATCCCATTCCTGGGAATTTACCCAAACCAAAGAAATCAGCATATGAAAGTTTTCTGTGCCCCATATTCATTGCAGCACAACTCACAATAGCTAATATATGGAATCAACCCAGATGTGCATCAACTGTTGGCTGGATAAATACATTATAATTTATAATATATCCATATATACTATATGGAATACTACTCACCTTCGAAAAATTAAATTATGTCTTTTGCAATAAGATGGATGCAAATGGAAACCATTAAACTAGTGAAAAAGCCAGTTCCAAAAAGACAGATACCAAATGTTTTCCTGATCAAAGGTAACTAATAGAGTATCTGAAATGTAATGTTTTAGAGTGAAATATACATTTTGAGATTCAATGATTGCAGCCTTTGTCTCTTCCATTAAAAAATTGAATTTTTTGTTTTTTTTTTTGTTTTTTCTTTTTTAAATACTATTTGTTGAACTTTTTTACTAAGTGTAAGGTTAACTCTATAATCATTAAATAAACTGAAAATAGATCTTTGTAAAAATTAATAGTGGAGATTTGAGAGAGAGGATGAGAATGTATCCTGGGCAGGAGGGAGTTTAGGGGGCAAAGTGTCACCTTGTTTCTAAATATGTGTATATAAAATACGTGACAATTGTATAACTTAAACAAAATTGAAAAAAAAAATCACTCTAGCCTCTCTGGATTGTTTAAAGGTTGCCCCCTACCCAATCACATATGCTCAAACAAAAATTGGGGACATATCACTGAGCTTTCTAAGGCTGGGAGAGGTGTGTTTTCATGACCTTCAATCATGAGTAACTAGACTCTGCAAACTTAATAGAGTACCCAGGTTTAGGCCCATGAAGTAGATAAAAGCTTTCCCACCTGCACAAGGAGAAAATAAAGGCAAATAACATGACCACTGAGGACTTTTTCCCATTTAGATCTTTATTCATTCAGCATAAAGGAGCATATCCTTACAGTATTCTACCATATCTCAATATAAAGCCCATCATTTACCAATGATATTAACTTATCAATGTATCAATGTATAGTCTATCATTCTACTGTATCTCAATATATAGCCCATCATATCTATCTAGTGTATCTCAATATATAGCCTACCTTTTATCCAGCATTGGAATACAGACATAAAGTATTCCTTCTGTACATACACATTATAGGTTGTCCCATTTGCTACAAATTCAGTATGGTAATGATGAGTTTTCAACATAATGACAACGATAGCATTAACTTTAATGAACATGCTTATGCGTGGAGACTCATTGATGATCTATTTATGTATTGAGAAATTTTGCTGAAAACATATCTTTTAAGACATGCACTTTTACCAGTCTTTAGATAGTTTTCATTCACTTATTGTTGTGTCATTATGGCAAATAACTTTATAGTTTTTTGTACAAATCAATATTCAAACAACTTTTTTTTCATTGCCTTTCATGATATTATTTTCTTACTGTTTTCAGTTAATTCTGTCTTTACTCTACTAGGTCATTTACTTATTCATTAAAGAAAACTGAATTTTGAATGTACAACATTTTCCCTCTTATTAGAAACTTCCAATCAGTGACTTGATTATAATATAATTATTCATTTAAAGTAATATTCCATACTTTGAGTTTCTACTTTCTGTTGTGCTATAAACATTTGATTTCTTTGCCTATTTTTGGTGATGCTTCTATTTCTCACAGGAATAAACACCATATTGTTTCAACTAAGACAATCATACATTTACTTACCTGAAATGTGAGGAGTCCTCAAGATGTTCCTGGAAACAGCATGTTGTGAAAGAACTATGGTTGGATTTCAAATCCTTTCTGCATCCACAGGAAAGTCTTTGAATTCAATTCCCCGTGACTTTTTTGAAGTATCGTCATACTACAAAGAAAAGATACATTAGAAGTTATAATAGACACATTACTAGAGACTAGCTGGTCCTAAATGACTTGACTCACAGGTAAGGTGACTGTGTACAGTGCCAGGGCAGGCAGCATTTCCTTCAAGAGGTCGTAAATACTTTGTTTTAAAGGCCATGTATTATACATCACAATGATTCAAGTTTCCATTGAAGCTCCAAAGTAGTCCTTGTATGACAGCTTGCCAAACCCTGTCTTTGTGGAAAAGAACAACAGGAACAGAAGATGATTTACAGCCAAGACAGAGGTAAATACTGGAATAAGTAGCCTGAGGAAGTATGCTAACAAATCTAAAAATGCTTTGATCATTTTATTATTAAAATTTTATCTAGGTAAAAGAAAAATCTGTGGCAATATATAGTATATAGTTCAATACAAATGACTCAATTTAATAAAGAAAAGTAAATTAAAAGCCAAAAAATGAATAGTGTATGAAAGATATATGGAATTATGCAAAGGGTATAACACATATAAAATATTTCAGAAGGAGAAAATAGGACACAAAAGTATTGCACAAAATAACATTGATAATTTTTTCCTTGTATAAAAATGCAAGAATTCAAATTACATGTTCAAAAATCTGACATACCATTAAAAGAATAAACACACAAGTAGAAGAGGCAGCCATTGAAAAGACACATTTCTTGTTCATTCAGAAAGAGGAGTACGACACATTTATCATTGGAAATTGTGTAAGGTAGGAGACAGTGCAGTGACATTTTAAAAACTGCTGAAGGAAAAAGTTCTTGAAGAAGAATTCTGTATCCAGCTGAAAAGGAAAGGAAAGAAAAGAAAGGAAAAGAAGTAAAGAACCGTGCTTTAGAAATCAAAATTTCAAAAACAGAGGGAACTTACAGTGAGTTTACAGTGAAAGCTGTTCAGGCAGAAGGAATATGATTGTCGCACAAACACATGGATTGTAGTTCAGATGTGGTAAAATAAAACAAATACTGATATTCACCTTGTCTGTTTTTAATCAATCTAAAGATAACTTATTATTTATCGAAAAAATAGTGTTGGAAAACTGTTGTTTTTTCCATGCGAATTAAAATACATGAAATCAATATGATCAAGATTGACAGCAGGAACAAGGATGATGCAGTTGAGAATTATACACCTATATGTGAAACACTGTGATAGTATTTGAAGACATAACTATTTACACATTTATGTTATAAACATAGTATAAGAATCAATAGTTTAAAGAATAATATAATAGGCACAAATGAAGATGAAATTTATTAAAGATAAATATATAATCCAAAAGAAAGTGAAAAAGGAAAAAGAAACAACTAAATAAAAAAACAGGAAGTGATAGACTTTAACTCAGACATACCAATAATTATAATAAATGTAGATGATTTAAGCATACCAATTAAAAATAAGTCAGATTTCATTAAAAGCAATACCTAACTGTATATTTTTAATTTACTCTATCATAAATAAATAAATATCAATTTAAATATCAGCTAGATTGAAAGAATTTAGAAACCTATCCCATACAAATATGAAAGAAGGCAAGACTGTGCTAATATTAGAGAAAAATTAGATTTATAAAAAAGAACTTACCAAGGACAAATAAGGACATTTTAAGAATAATAAACATCTCAAGAAGCATATATATATATATGTATGTAAATGTATATATATATGGCAATGTTAAGTGTGCATATAGCTAACACAAGAGATTCAAACTAAAAAAAGCACAAATTGGTCAAAATATTAGAGCTGACAGAATTTATTATTGCTATTGTTTGTAACCTCTGTGGCACCCCTTAGTGAATATTTCTGGTTCTTTTCTAATTATTCAATTTGTATTTTTTCTTTCTACTGAGAACAATGGAGATAAGTAAGGCCCTCATAGGAATCAATCTTATTATTGAGGTTGTCAAACACTTCATTTCCATATTGTTATATAAAGAATCTCAAAGATATTTTATTTCTCATTTCGTACATTGGGAATTTTTGCCTCCATTTCTTTGGATTTTTCGAGTTATTGCTCATGTATTCTACTGAGTTAAGATAAAAACGGATTCTTTGATTGATTCTGCTATTTTTGTTTTGTTTCTAATTAGATAATTTTTTGCAGGCTGGGAGACTTTTGCTGGAATTTGAGGGAATGAACTAGCACAAGGAAACTCTCTCATCTGCCATGCTGTCTCTCTAACTTCACACAAGTCAAACTTTTAATAAAAAGTATCATTTAAACAGTATGAATTAAGACTCAGAATCTTAATTTGGATTGCACTATACAAAATAAATGAAGTTATTTAGGAGGAAAAATAATTACGACACATGAGTAATCATACTTTATAAAACAAAAGAAGACCAAAACAAACAGCAAAAAAGTGGCTGTGTGTATGTGTGTGCGTCCTTACACTAATACACACATGCACAAGGACTTCAAAGATGATCAAGGAAAATGGAATTAAGAGATAAGTTTATGTTTGTACAAAAAAAAAAAAAACCCTTAACATCCATGAATAATGTTTTCTTTTTAGTAATATAAAGAGAAAAGATTTCTAATGTTTCACAAGTACAGGTGTAAGAAGATAACCATACTTCCCTCCCTCCCCCAAGCCCTCTCTTTTCCTCCCCTCTTTTCTTTTCGTTAATTTTTGCAAAGCCATATTTTTAATCCTCTCTATAGCCACAAGCTTAATTCACCCTAACCATATATTTTGAAGACCTTGTGTGTGTTATCTGTGTGTAAACTTGTGCACAGGCACACTTTTATTTCTTATAATCTTCTGGAAGGAATCTAATTGTCTAAAATGGAAATTACAATGCTGATATTTATGCTCACAAAGAAAATTATGGTAACAGTAGCACTAACGACGATTCAGACATGTGATTAAACTAGTGTCCGTCTACCGCATTTGAGTGGGGAAAGGATGTGAAGTGTGGACTGAGAGATACGGAGCAGGGTTCATGTGACAGGAAGTGGAAAGTGGGAAGGAGGACTGTGAAATGACAATGCAAAGTGTGAGCTGATACTGACTTGGAGAAGTGAAACAAAGGTGCATTTAAGGTATTAATATGTCTCAAACAATCACAAGGAAACATGATAAGATGTCGAGTAGCTAATGAGTACCTACAGCAAATAAAGTAGATGGCAAAGATGTTTAGTCAACCCCCCCCCCCCCCCCACACACACACAATAAAAAGCATGAGGAATAAAAGGGTGAAAAAGTCAAAAGAGAAAAATGGAAAGCAGGGGCCGGCATCGGGGCATAGGCTACCATCTGTGATGCTGGAATCCATACAAGTGCAGGCTCAAGACCTAGAGGCTCTGCGTCAGAACAGCTCCCAGATAGTGCACCTGGGAAGGCAGCAGGTGATGCTAAGTATTTGGGCTCCACCATCAATGAGGGACAGCAGGACTGTGTTCTCGGATCCTGGCTTTGGCCTGGCCCAGCCCCAGCTGTTCTGGCCATTTGTGGAGTGAACCTCTCTGTAACTTTGCCTTTGCAATAAATACATACTTTTTTAAAATAAGGAAAATGGAAAACAAATGGCAGATTTTACATTTAACCCTATGCGTGTCAAAAATTAAATTATATACAGAGAATGTCAGATGGAATAAAAAATCTTCAACTACATTCTTACTGAAAAAAGCTCACACATTGAAGATTGGCATATATGTGTAACTTACAAATATGAAAAATATAGACTGAGTAAGCACACAAATCTCGTATAGCTACATTAATATGAGACAGCAGCAGCATGGAGAGTTATGTGTACAAAAGACAGTGAGAGACATTTGCCAAGGATAAAGGTGGAAACACCTGGAAACACCACTGTGTTTGGAAGTTTACCACCTCTCTTCAGCACTGGAATCAGTATGAATACAGACGAGCCAGAGTAGACGATGAAGCACATAGTCATAAATTTCATTTAATCTGAATTTCTATAAAAATAGTGTCATGCTTCTATATCATTTTAGGTCTCTGGTATGACAGGCTCAATGTAGGAAAATTTAAACATGAAATGCACAATATAAGTAAAAAAAAAAGCCCTGCCCAATATGTCTCAAAAATTATAAAATAAATAGGAAGCCAAATTTCATATTGCTTATAAATTATACTATATCACAACTAAATGGAGTTTATTCCGGTTCTCTAGGACTAGAAAGTGTTTAGTTTTTAATCAATGTTTTTTTACACTTTAGGAGTAAATAATATAAAATCATGTTTTCTAAATAAATTCAGAGAAAATAATTTTGAAAAGTCAATACACATTCTTGATTAAAAACTATTATTAAACTAGGAATGATAGCACTTTTATATTTGAAAAATAATAACTACTGACAAACCATTGACATTCAATGGTATAATGTTGAAAACATTTCCTCTACTACCCCTGACATCAGGAAAAATAAAGAATTTTTTACTACCTTTCCTATTCAACTAAACTCAGTTATGAGCTCCCTCCCCAAAAAAACAATTAAAATTCCTTATGGATTTTTAAGGTGGAATGAAGATTATTCAAGATGATTACATATCTCGGGGCCAGCACTGTGGTGCAGCAGGTTAAACCAATATGGGCATTGGTTCAGGTCTTGGCTGTTCCACTTCTGATCCAGCTCCCTGGTAATGCATCTGGGAAAGCAGCACAGGCTGGCCCAAGTCCTTGGGCCCTTGCATCCATGTGAAAGACAAGAAGAAAGCTCCTGGATCCAGGCTTCAGATCAGCTGAGCTCTGACCATTGCGGCCTCTTGGAGAGTTAACTAGTGGATGGAAGGCCTTTCTCTCTCTCTCTCTCTCTCTCTCTCTCTCTCTACCTCTCTCTGTAAATCTGACTTTCAAACAAATAAAATTTAAAAAAATAAAATAAATGATACCTCGTTAAAAAAAGATGATTATATATCAAGAATATCCAAAAGAAGCTACAACCAAAGTATTTAAAATAATTTAAAATAATAGAAGTCACCAGTCATCCAGTGTTTTATTTTCTGAAATTTCAGTCACTCATGGTCAACTAAAGTCAGAAATTGTTAAATGAGCAATTTCAGTAGAAAAAACAGTGTACAAGCTTTAAATTGCCCACTGTTTGAGTAACATGATGAGATTCAATGCTGCTGTGTTCTGTTCCACCTAGGCTATGGATCAAGCTTTTTCTAGCTGGCTGTGTTGTAAATGCAACACACCCGTTAGTCATTCTGTGGCCATCTCGGTCATCAGACAGACTGCTGCTGCATTGTAGCACTTGTGCTCACGTGACCCTTATTCTACTTAATAAAGGCTGGAAGCGCAAGAGTAGTCATTTTGGCAATTCAGATTTGTCAGTGAAAACCCATAAAGTGCTTCCTTTGAGTGAAAAGGTGACACTTTTTGACTCAATAATATAAGAGAAAAACACACACAGAAAAACACTAATAAAAGAGAAAAACACACAGAATCTATGATAAGAATAAATCTTCTATTTGTGAAATGGTGAAGAGCAAAAAATAATCATGCTAGTTTTGCTGTAGCACCTCACACAGTGCAGCAGTTGTACTTAGAGTGATATATGTTTACATAAGATAGAAAAAAAAGTTGAAGATTGTCAGCAGAAGATATGAACTGCAAATATGTTGTGATGAGCAGCAAAATGTCACACCAGAAAGCCCTGAGCCTGAAGAAAACTTCATCAAGGAATCTCTGAAAGGAGTGACACCAAGCCTTTCACTGCAAGTAAACGAGGGTTACACAGAACCAGGAGAAAGTTGGACTGAAAAATGTGAACATCATGGCCAGTGACCTGCCATCCCGTGTGAACTCGAGTTTTGGTTTGAGTCCCAGCTGCTCTACTTCTGATCCAGCTCCCTGCTAATGTACCTGTGAAAGCTGTAGATGACACAAGTGCTTCTGTCTCTGCACCCATGTGGGAGACTCAGTGTTCCAGGCTGTTGGCTTCAAACTGATCCAGCCC